AACTTTTGGTGGCACCATTTTAACCCTTCTTAAAAACTTAAAAGCCCCCCCCCCCTCCTCAAAAATCATAAAATGTATTCCTTTTCAGACTTGCTCTCTCCAATTTGTTCCTTCCAGGAGGAGGAACTCTTCCTGCAAAGAATTATAATATTTGGGTCACCAAATGATATGAGTAGGGGTTGGGTGGTATACTTGAACATTTTAATTAACTGGGGGATTGGACATAATATGCACAGATAAAATAATTATTAATGAAATGCTAAAATGAAAAGTTGAACAGGTCAAGAGTTAATTTAAAAAATTTCATTTTCAATAGTTGAAAATAAATTGACTAGGAATTAATTCCTTTTACAATTGATTTCTGTTACCTTACTAAAAGATTGCCATCTGTAGAATTGATAGTTTTTTTTTTTTTTTAATTCTCAGAAACAAATCTAACATTTTCAGTGCTGCATTTTTACCATTTCTCCTGCAACTCTTCTGGATGGTTGTCTTGTTTAAGTTGGTGAATGCTGCCATAATCCTTGCATTCAGTTCATTTTTGGTATTACAAGGAGTTTTGTTGGTCTCTCGCTCAACTGTACCCCACACATAATAATTAAGGGGATTGCAGTATGAGGAGTTAAGTGGCCAGGTGTAAGGGATGATGTGGTCACAGAAATTGTCTGACAGCCATGACTAGGTTCTCTTGCTTGTGTGGTATGGTGTAGAATCCTGTTACCAGACATAGGGTCTTCCAGCAGCCACCCTCTTGACCCAGTGCAGCACTACTTCCTCAAGGCACTTTGAATAGGCCTCCATGTTGAGTCTGAGGCCCTGTGAAAGGAGGCATACCATCACTAGTGATCACTCCAAACACCATGATATTGACTGGATATATCCTCTCTTTCTGAATCATTTGTACTGTCCTTCGATTGGCACCCAAACACTTTGAAATGTTCATATAGGGGCTTCTGGCATGAATGCCAAGCAGTACAGCATGCCGTTTCCAAATTTCTGGTGGAGTGAATTGCATCATGGGGCTCTTTTTCTCACAGATGGTGCCCAACTGACTCTACTGTGCATATCAAAATGAAAAATATAAAATGGTGACAATTTATTTATTGTACTCTGTAAAGTTTTATTGAAGATGTTGATAGATTTAAGTCAGAAAAGAGTTTCTTGTTGGTTTGTTAGTTATCAGCTTAGGACATTTGTATGTTGTGTTGTATACATTGCAACATACAGTTAATTTGCGGCTAAGAAGTTACACAGAGAGGAAACAAAACATATCTTGTCCCTACAGCATCCTGTGGTCAGAGAGAATACTCTGTCATTTTTTCCTGCTACTTTTTGACTATGTTATCTATTGGTCGCTGGCAGAAATTCCTTGCCAGACAGATGGGGTAATCCCACAACTGGCATTTTTTAAACTACATGCAGCCTTTTATATACAACAATCATAACTTAGGTTCTTTCCTTTGTTGTCAATACAAAGAAGGAAATACACTTTCTTCAGAATATTGTAGATGAGTGGCATTTCTAACAAAGTCAAAAGTTACACATGCACTTTTTTTTGGAATGCTTCAGTCAGTCAGTTAAGTGCCATACGTAATACATGCTTGGACGATCATGTATCTTTTGATACATGACTGACAAGGCAGATTTTTTCCTGCAGTAGGTTGCCATTTCTTTGTGGTAGACTGGTTGCCAACCAAGGCTAAAGAACCCAGTCTGTCCTGCTATTCGACCCATAGCTTGAGGAGAAGAGATGAATTCATATATTTCCCATAGTTATTTGTGCACAAGTGAATTTAACGAACTCTACTGTAATTCAAACTTAGCTCTCAGAGTTCTCACTCCAAGTCGATATCCATTACACCACAACACACAATGCTTACATGTGTTAAAAGAAAAAGTAATTTTTAGTTTAGTTATTGTTGTATCTCATATTTTTGAGATAACAGGGGGAAATAAATAAGGAAGACCAACTCGTAAGTAAGTAATGAAATAGAAGGTTTATTATGCGAAGGTACACTTAGCAATTGACCTAATGCTAACTCTGCTTATTTATATAAACAGGTGATTTCATTTATTTATGGTTCTTTATGACGGTCATATCAAATGGAATTTTAAAAGATAAATTCTACTTCATTTGTTTTCCAAACTTGACACATGGTGTAAATTTGAAAGCATTTATATCATTAGTCTATCTTCATTGAATTTCCTTTTTCTAAACTAGAAACAAATACATGTTTCTGGATATGGTTTTTGGGAAAAAATTAAAGAAAACTGTGGGTTTTAACAAATGTTAATAATTATTCCATGTGGATATATTTAAAAAACAAACAAAAAAAGCATTGAACTCATTGAAATTGAATGTTAAATCATTCAATTTCAATGAGTTCAATACTTTTTAATTTTTAAATTTCTTTTTTGAAAATATTAAAAAATCCAACTTTGTTTTTCTTTTCATGTAAAAGCATCCACAGTAGAAGTGGTATGTCTTGGGCAAGATAGCCTGACAGAGCACAATCAAGCCAGAATGTTCCATTCTGGCTTGAAACAAAATTATTTGCTAATTTCAGTGTTTTCTTTTAAATCTTTCTTCCCGTGAATAAAATCGTCCTATAAAAATTGGAGGTATGGTCAAGTAATGGATTGCAGCTCAGATTGAGGGCATCTGAGAGCTGAGTTTGAATTTCAGTTGACTTCATTACATTTATTTATGTGCAAATACCCTTGTCTTGTCTCTCCCAGCTATGGGTAAATAGCAGGATAGGTGGCAACCGGTCTAGGAGAAAGACAACTAGCCTGGCATGGATTGTGCTCTGTCAGGCTATCTTGCCCAAGACATACCACTTCTACTGTGGATGCAGTACATGTGGTGCCTCTATGTCTTTGATGAGTTGCAGGATTCATGATCATGATAAAAATTCTGGTAATCTCTATGACCTTTATTGATGACTAGCAGGGTTAGCTGATATTATATCAAAATAACACCAGTCATGTATGAATTCATTATCAATAATATTGATTGATTTGATTTCTATGAATTATCAACTCCTTGCAAGTTATTTAAAGCCAGGAGATATTTTTAGATTGTAATTTATTTTTATTTTTTTTATATATAATAATGATTTATTGATACAAGTCTTACTAATTGTAAGAGAACAGGCTGATTTGTTCCTCTCCAAGGGTATTTGCACATAAGTGAATGTAATGAATCCAACTGGAATTGGAACTCGGCTCCCCAATTAACAAACTGTCACCCATCTAGGTAGTGACCAGGCTCAACATTGCTTGACTTTGGTGATTGTGTGAGAAATGGTGTTTCAACATGATGTGGCAATAATAATATTTATTTAAATTCCACATAATTTATTATAGCAATATTCATTACAATTTAATTTTTATCATTATTTGGATAAATATCTAAAAAGGAATTGTTAACTCTGTTCTAAATTTTGTGTGTGTGTGTGTCCAGATTAAACTACAATATAAAACATTCAATTCTGATTTGGCATGTTTCAAGGAAGATTTTCATAAATAATTTATTCTTGTATATGAATGAGCAAATAGTTTTGCAAATTAAAATTTTTTTTTTTTTTAGCTTAATATTGTTTTTATAAAACAAGAAAAAAAGGGGTAATTAATTTTTGTAAGGAAAAAGCCGGTTATCCTTCAAAAAGAAAATTTATAATTTTAAAACTAATAAGCTTAATCCTTTATTAAAATAAAATGATTGCCTGTGTATTCTTTTAATCTTTTCATTTTCAGTTTTTTCATTGTTGATGTAGGATTCATGTATGTTAAATTTGTTTAGCATTTTATATATATATATATATATATATATATATATATATATATATATATATATAATAATAAAAAAACTTTCTTTATTAACCAAAAAGTCTACAATTCATTTATTATTCACTTATTAACTTTGCCACTGTTTATTTAAAAATTAATTGAATGACATCTGGTCTACATTAGGAATGCTAAGATATTGGTAACTTCTTATATGGAGAGCATAGGAATTATTTATGAAAACCTTCCTTGGAACATGTTGATTCAGAATATTTTTGGCCAGTTTCTTCAGATGTCTCAACTTCATTATCTTGAGTTTCTTTCAAAGCCAAATGATTAACATTAAAATCCCAAAGTTGATAAGGTGGTGTATAGAGCCATGGCCTTAACATGGTATGTGTTATTGCTTGGGTTTCTGTAGCAAGGAGTTTCTCTTTTCTTTTTTTTTTTTTTTTTTTTTTTTTAATGGTGGAGTTGCTCGTCAAATGCGAACATCTCTTGAATTCAGAGTTGTTTTCCTGTCTAGACTAGTTGCCAACAAAGCCTAAAGAGCAGAGCCCTGTTATTTGAGCCATAATTTGTTGGGGTTGGGAGAAAGTTATTTTGTGCAATTAACAAGCTTTGTATACCAAATCCACTTTTTGTGCCAATAATCTATGACAATTTAAAAGTGGTAAAATCAAGTTCCAAAGAAAACATGTAGTGGTGGGAGGAATACAAGCAGACATTTCTCAAGGTTGGCAAGTGCTTTTTGGTACAGTAGGCAAATTAAAACCAGGTGAGCTGATTTGCTTGGACTTTGATCTTGGGATGATGAGGAACCAACTCATACCCCATCTCAAAATTTGATGTTGAATAATTTTCACAGAAATGTTCTGATTAATTTTCATGCAACTTTTCTCAGAATTGTTCTCCATGCAGTCATTTTTCCATATAAGAATATCAGGGAATTCCAACAAATCTTGAAATCTTTCTTTTTCATTTAGGTTTCTTTTAACCAGTTTCTAAAGACCTGCATTGTATCATCATATTCCAATCTAATGTTCTATCTTCCCCAGGAGAATATTAGTCTCAACTTTGTGTGTGTGTTATATATATTTAGACATACAGTATATTCTCATTTGTCCACCTCTTCATTTGTGATTTATGGGGAAGTAGGTCTCTTGAATTTGTTTACCATTTCTGCTGACAGTGGTGCCATTTGGTTTCAGATTGGAATGCCGAGAAGCAGAAGAAGAAGCGTAGTCGATGGGGTAATGAAGAGACTGACAAGACTATAATTCCTGGCATGCCGACGGTGATTCCGGCCAATCTGTCAGGTGACCAAGAGAAACAATATTTAGGTAAGTTGCTTTTACTCTTGGACCATTTACTTTTTCTGCTTTGATGTTGTAAACAGATGTTTCTATTCTTTGAAGTAATTGACTATAAACAAATAAGTAGTAGCAATATTTTTCAGATAATGGTAAGTCCATTATCAGTGAACTTTTATCAGTTTTTTTTTTTTTTTTTTTTCCTTCCTCGTCTATTTCTTTCAGGCCATGGGTAAGTAAATTTGCTCTATCTCTCTCTCTCTCTCTTATTCTTTTACCCCCATGCTGACCATTATTTGTAAATGTTTTCATTTGATACCTAATGTTACATTGTCTTTTATAATCATGCATAAATACAATTTCAACATGTTCAAGCTAATATATTCGATGCTGTATTTTCAGATGTTTTCCAAAATGTTTAACTGTTGTTCTTGATAATTTAGTATCATTTTTTAGTTGTTGTACACAAATACCTGCTTTATTTATTTACTCAAGTTAATAACAAATATGTCATTAATCAGAAATATTACACAAGTGAAATTAATTTTCAGGTTGGTTGTTTGTTTACTTGTTCTTTATTATATTTTTTTTATTTCCCTTAAATTTAATGTTAAATGTTAAACAGATTTTTCAGCCTTATTCTTTAAGGTAAGGTGTAAGTGGTCTTGTTTGCAGTGGACTGAAGCTGTTTACTAGGACTAGGTAACTAGTGTAAATAAAGATTGTTGTTATGGCCAGTTTGAGGGAGATAGAATATAGTGTTGATAATGGGCAGATAAGATTCTACTGCAACTTCTGACAGTTGGTTGGCAAGATGAATTGCCTCAAAAACAATTTCTCGTCTTATGCGGGGGATGAGAAAATTTTAATAGGAAGGATTTCTTCAGATTTTTAATTGTGAAGATCAAATTGCTGAAGTTTACATCTTGATCTTTATTGAACCTGTCATTGCAGAAAACTGTCATCTCCTACCTTCCTTAGAATGCTCTAAAAAGAAAAGGTGTATTGAAAATGAAGAATAAAAGTGGCTTTTCCTTGAAGTCACTTGTTGAGGAGATTCTGTTCATATTCTATATGCATTTTACTTTAAGAAATTCAGTCCCCCCCCTCCTCACTTCCAGTATAAACACTCCTTATTTCTGATGGTTAATTATTTTATGACAACTCTTGTCTTCGCAGCAAATGAATGGCCCGAGTAAATGGAATGAGAAACGAGCATCTAGCAATTGGAACATTGCAGGATTCCTTGACATGGGGAGCTCAATACCAATATTGGATTAGTCCCAATTGTCTGGATTTCTAACCTTGACTCTGTGACTGATTTGAACTTGTTGTAAAATAATTATACTTAATCAGAGATAAATGTTAATCTCCCAAAATAGTGAGTAATTCAGCCTCTGTATAAAATAGGCATTTATTGAAGTTACCCTGAAGGTGGTGGCTGATAGTAATGATTTTCAGGTTCTTTTTGCTTAGCAATTGTTATTTTTTTATTTATTTATTTTTTTTTATTTTTATTTTTATTTTTTTTTATTTATTTTTTTTTTTTGTTGACTGTTGTCTCTGTGATGTGTTAGTCATTGTTTGCTTGTATGTTGTCTGGTGTGTAGTGGGTGTTAGTATGAACCTCAAACTGGCCTCTGTTGATCCAATGTTTTTTCGATTGATAATATTTGCTGCTATTATAACCACTTCATTCCAGTTCACCTGCAAATCGAGGAGATAAGTCGTAGACTGCGAACAGGAGACCTGGGCATCCCACCTAATCCCGAAGACAGGTTTGCTTGCGGCCTGCTGCTGCTGCCTCGGAGGAGCAGTAGTAACCTTACAATTGTTTTAACTTCTTTTTCAACAGCCAGGCATGCAAAGAGTCAGTGCAAGAAAAAAAAAAAAAAAAAAACTCGAACCAAAAGTTGGATGCAACTTTAATATTGCTATTATTTCGATCAACTTTTTTTAATTTTTTTTTTTTTTTTTTTTTTAACATAATTTATGTACCTATTTATTTTTTTTATTTTTTTTTAAAAAAAAAAAAATTTTTTTTAATTTTTTTTTTTTTTTTTTTTTTTTGTTTGCAGTTGTAGGCCTACAGTTTTTGACACATACCCCTATTCCCATTTATGGAATGATAAAAAATTTGCTCTGAAATTCTCCCTAGACCAAAAATGACATCCAACTTTTCAGAATTCAAATAATACATTCACATTCTCTTTTGTTAAATAACTATTCATTTTCAGCTGGATTTTAGATGTTCTAAGTCATTAACATTTCTATAAAGCAGTAGCCCATAATGGTTTTTCATATGTGTAGCCAGGATTTGGGTTGTGGTCTAGAAATCTAGATAGTCAAATAACTCATTACAAACATTTACATGTTTGGTAAACAATTGTATATGAAAAGTAAAATCATGGTCTTTTCATATAATGTATTTTGATGTAAATGTTTAGTATATTGGTTCCCATGTGGTCCACCTGCAGGGAAAATTGCTAGTGTTTCCATCCAGTATAGGAATTTTTGACTTTGGGAGCTTGTGGGTTAACCATTTTGTAATGTTAAGTAATTGTCTATTATTAGGACTATCGAGTTAGAATTTTTAAAATGGAAGTCTTTGATGGGAGCATTGAAACCTGCTTTTCATTCTGGTCAGTTTAGTCTTTGTCATTTATCTTAATTTATAGCCTTGTCTATTGTAGATTTCCATTCTCAATTGATTGTGGATTTTAAATATTAACAGACAATAAATTTAATTCTTTTATCAAATATCTTGAAATGGTAATCAATAAAAGCTCATTTATTTCTTAGGTTAAGTATTGAAAGAATGTTTTTACAAGTACTTTTGAAATGGAGTGAGATGAGAATTTATGAACCAACATATTTTATTTCATAACTATTTTGGAAAGAATTTACCACTTGATATCAAAATATTCTTTAAAAATAGAAATTTATGATTTGTAAGCCATTGCTATAAATTAAATGATTCCACATTGCATCAATGGTGCATTATGGGAAAATTAAAATCTCTGTAGGTTTGTAAGAAATGATTGCTTGAAACTTAAGTATTTTTTTTTTTTTTTTTTTCTTTTTTTATGACTAAGTTGGCTATTCTGTTACTTTGGTAACAAATGATGTTTTGGGGCATTTAATAGTTTGGGTGGAAATCTAGTTTCTGTTTTTTCCCTTCAAGATTCCTTTGAAACAATTTTAGCTTTTGCTTTTTATCTGATATTACTGTTACTCTTACCTCACCTTCCGTGCATTAATTCTTAAAGGCTAGCTTTGTTGCTAGGCAACTAATGAAGACATGTGAAAGGATTGCCATTTTCTTCTTGTTCCTTTCTGCTTGTAGAACTCTTGATCACAATTGGCAGGTTTTTTTCTTGCTTGCAAACTCTACATGGAAATGTTATCCGTCCAATGCTCAGTCTTGCAAGTATGCTTCCATCCAAAAGCTATTTAGTGGCTTTTAATTTTGGAATTTCTATTTCACTCGTGTTGGTTTCTTTTTGTATTTTGACAGTTTGACTTAAAGAATCTGACCGTTATTCTTGTGGCGACTTGTTGGATTCTATGTCCAACTGCTATGTCCAGCCAGAGAGCAAGAAGGTGTTTTTGACAGCTAACACTTTCTCTCTTGAATATACACACAAATACGTACATTGACTGATAGGCTTATTTCATTTCTACACTCAAACCTTGTTACATTGTCCTTGCAGTCTTAATCTCTATTTTTCTTTTTTTAATCCGTCAAAATTCTTTTCAGCAGCACTTGAAGAATTAATGAGAATTCTATTTGTTTTTGTCATTCTCTATAATCAAAACAATTTCTTTTTTCCTAACCAATCTTGCACTGGCTCTTCAGCACCTTGAAAATATTTAATAATCATATTAATAATAATCATAATAATAATAATAATAATAATAATAATGCCATCATTTTTTATTTTTTTTTTTTTTTTTTATTTCTCACCTTCCATTTAAAATGAAATTTTTTTTTTTTTTTTTTTTTTTTGCACACCCATCCCTATTTTTTTTTTTTTTTTTTTCCTTTTCCTTCTCCCTACCGAAATTTACTGAATTTTAGATCTTTTTAGGGGTGAGGGGATATTGTCTGTATTAGCTTCCTGTCCTGTAGTTCTTACTGGCTTTATTAATTGTAACATGTCCGATTCCTTACATTCATTTAAATTTTTAGATAATTTTTTTTAAATGGTTCATCTCCTGGGTAATGATGGTGGGAACAATTATTCTCTCCCCCTCCCTCCCCCCAAATCATATTGAGTCGAATGCCATTGATGTGTGTTAATTTTGTTTGTTAGAAATGAGAATGGTTAGTTCAATTTTGGGATGACTTAAATAAAGACTATTTGCTGAAAATCTTTTTCTAATAAAATATCCATTTAATGTTCCTATTAAACTTAAAGAAGTGTTGTTGCTGTTGTTGTTGATCTTGCAGTTCTCTCTGCTCATCATAATTACATTTCTTTATTCTGTATAATAAAAAAAAAAAGAAGACAAGTGATTGCATCAGTTTTGTGCATTTTTAAATGCTTGTTTCTGCTTAATTGGTTGTTGCCTTGTCTCTTACTGTCTGGTATGTCTCCAATTACAGTGTTCATTTCAGGATCCATACCATTTGTACAAATGACTGACGACTCATTTGTAAAAATGGTTTTTATTTTTTTCATGCTAAACCCATGACAAACACAGAAAAGTAAAAAAAAAAAAAAAAAAAAAAAAGCTTTGATAAACAGTTAAATATAACATAAATACTAGTTTAGAAGGTGTTGATTCCGACCAATCCACTTTTGAAATTAGAATTTCCCTCATCTTACTGACAATATTTAAGAATGGTCAACTGCAAAGTTGGAGAATTAAATTTGATTAACTAAACTGAAAGTTTTAAATTAAAATATGGGATTATGGAATTTTATCTAATTTTAGGGGCTGCATTCTGAGTTGACCAATTATCCAGGCAAAATGCCCCCTTGAAGAATCATTTTTGTCATCAACTTTTAACTTTAGTGCGATTGGGGTGAGGAAAGAAAACTTCATTGTATTTGAATTCTAACTTGGGAGGTAGGGGACTTGGTTGTTGTTCTATCGAATGAAAAGAAATTTGTGGTTTGTCGAATTTTCCCAGCTGAAATAAACACTGTATTTCTTACTGGTTGCTCTAAACTCTTCATCAAGAGAATCCGTTGAGATAGGATTTTTATGAAGACTTTTTAAACCAATTTTTGTTTGGGCTTTAAAAATGCAAAAAGTGATGACTTGATTTTAAGGTTTAAAAATGACTGGAAAAGAAAAAAAAAATTTTTTTAATTTATTTTATTTTATTTATTTATTTATTTATTTTTAATGAATTTCTTTTTGGAGCTTTTAATTGCTTGCTTCTTTGCTTTTCTATCCCCTCACCTTTTTTTATTTGGATAAAGACAATACATTCGCGCATGTATTTTAGAAAAGCTACACTTTATTTATTGACCGTATTTCTTTAAAAGCATGATCAATTAGATTTCCCCCATTGAGCAACAAATTAGGACAAAGGTTTAAGGCAAAATGATTGGTTAAAATTTAATTGTTGATATTATGACTGTTTAATTTTAATGATTTCTTTTCAAATTCCAAACACTGTCTTTGAAACAAACCAAAATATTTGTCCTTTATTTTATTTTTTTTTTATTTTTTTTCATCTTTTTTTATTTTTTTCTTAACTTACATTCCTTATATTTATAGATTAAGTTTACTTTTCACTAACTGAAATTTTAAAGCTCATGGACATTGCAAAAGAATTTTCATTACCACCACACTTGTTGTCCACTTGATTAATCTATTTCTATTTGATAATTATTGTTGACCACCATATTGACAAATTTTGGAGACTTCTAGAAGAGAAAGATCTACAAATAGGCAGGGCAGAATTTTGAACAAAGTCCAATGTAGGAAATAGAAGCACAATCCTTCGGTTCACTTATTTTCTATTCACATATTTTATTTTATTTTTTATTTATTTTTTTTTTCAAATTTAAGACTCCTCACTTAAAAAAAAAAGTCCCTGCCTTTTTGCAGATTGCCCAAAGATTTCTTTCTCTTGTAGCAGTTTCCAAAATTTGTCTTACTCTGTCGTTCTGTCTTCACCATTTTTGTGATATATCTATCAATGTTTTAGATGGATAATTCTGACACTAATCCCTTTGTAGAAATTGTGAAATAGTTTAGGGCCAATGTTAATCTTGTTTTTATTTATTGTAAAGTTTTGGCCGTTTAAGCATCTGTGTTAAGCATATGATTTGAAATAACTGAAACCTTCTTTTCAAAGTTGACTTCAATTTTGCTATTGAAACTGCAATGTTTTTAGCCAGTAAACCATATGATGCCTGTTGCAATATCAGATGATTTTGAGATTTCTTTTTCAACATTTGGTTTCTGTCGTCTACATTCAACAAAATCGGTTCACCAAGTCAGCAGAATATTCACAAATGCTTATTCTCTGGATCTGTTGTAATTTTTTTTTTTTTTTTTTTTTTTTTTTTTTTTTTTTTTTTTTTTTTCCTTTACGCTGTTTTCGTCAATTCCATACAACTCGTTGAGGTTTCAAGGGGATTTTCTGCCTCCAATACTGCAGAGCCATAAAATTATTTTGGCACAGTAATTGAAGTATCGTAAATGATTTTTCTCAGAGATTTTCAAAAATCTCCATTTTTGATTCAGACACTTGGTTTCCTTTTTTTTTCTTTTTCTTTTTTACTTTAAATTTTAAGAGTAATATTTCAAAGTACAAATGACATCTCTTTTGAAGTAACAACTTCAGATAAACCAAAGTCTTCTTTGGTGAAATAAAAAAAAAATAAATTCATTGTTCAAATTGTACCATATTGCAAAAAGTATTTTGTAGTTGAAACCATTGTCAGGATTTAACCATCACAGGTATGCAATGTACCAATTGAAATGGAATTAAGACAATTGGCATACCTCAGTTGTTGTTGTTCTTGGCTTATTTCTGTACATGGGATAAAATTTGATCAAGATGGTCACTTTTTATATTTATATGTAAAAAGTAAAAACCTCTTCATTCCTTCTTGGAATGCATGTTAACCTTTTTTTTTTCTTTTTTCCAAGTTGGAGTTTTTGATTGTGATAAGTTCTTTAGTTATTTGTCCACCTATGATTTAATCAAAAAATGTCTTGAATGTCTCCTATGCTTAAAATGTCCAATTCTTTGCTTAACCACTGTGCCTTTGCAGACTTTTCAGTTCGAAGTTTAAACTTGATGACTGTAGTATTTTAATGGTACCACTTTTCCCAATTCTTTTCTTGGCTGTTTATCTTGTCTAGTGTTCCTCAGGAATCTCTTCTGAAGACTTCTTTTCATTTGCTTGCAGTCAATTTGTTCAGGAATCTAAAAAATGGTTACCTCTTTTTTTCTTTTCTAAGTTTATTATTTTGTTGAATGGCTTGATTTGAATTTGCGTAGTGTCTTATTTGACTTGCTCTCTGGTTTCTTAGATCATTACCACTGAAGAGTTTGATCCTCTTTGGACACTCCACATTTTTGGCTTCATGCCAAAACTCAGTGGCAGGTAAATATTTTATGTCTATTAGGCTTTCAAGAGTTTGATGGATGTTGAAATGTAAGCAATTGACTCTCATCAGTATAAATTGGTTTCAGTCTTGAAGCTGACCTGATAAGAATACCTTTTGAATTGTTTTTCAGATTATCCTGTCAATTCAGTACTCTGAAAAAAAAGAGGGGGAAAAAAAGCCAACTTTTAGAAAACATTGAAGTGTTGTTATTGCATCATAAGTGTTCAGCTAATGATGTTGATTAAATCTGAAATCATAGCAATGAATTCTTTTGCTGCTAGTTCATGAGAACTGTAGATTACTGATAAAATATTTTGCAGTTCCAGACTGGATGATGACTTTACTCCAGAAATTACCAGGTGCAAATCTTTACCATAACCTTTTTAACAAATGGCTGTAACCATTTTAAAAATTAAAGATTTAAAAAAAAAAAAAAAATGTATATCTGCATGTTTTGGCTCTCAAGGTTGTCAATACTTGGTAATAAAATAAAAAAAAATGTAATGATTTTAGTCTTATTTAAAAAAAAAAAAAAAAAATAAAAAAAAGTCTTGAATTGGTGTGATTTATGGGAGGGATGTGGAAATGAACTAAATCCCAGGTTCTTGGAACTATATTCCCCTTTGCACTTAAGGTGGGAGAATTTAGGTCAATTCCTGTTGCTTGAAGTGAAATGCCAAAGGAACTGGATGAGTTTTTGAAAACCCCAAAAAACATGTTTCTACGTTGTAACCTGTCAAAACTTATTAACGTAGAAGGGGTAATATAAATAGTTTCAAAGAACCTTGTCTCTTGAAAAAACATCTACATTTGTAGCTTCTTGATTTCTTAGAGTTTGCATTGAAATCAATTTGCTGCATGTTTGCATTTGATATGAAAATGCTAATGTCCAGATACTTTATTTCTCATTAATGTCTTGTTTTCTGAGAATCTGAACCAATTTCTTCACTTTGGTTCTTTGTCCCAAAATAAAGCCTCATTTCTTTTTGACAGTTAACTGAATTTAGAAATTTTTTTTTTTTAAAGTAAGGCTTTCTCACCATTCAAATTTTCTGTGTATTAAACTATTTTCCTTTTTAGATTTCCATACATTTTTTGCATCTGTTCTCTGCAATTGTGAATCAAACATTGAATATTGGTTGGGTGGGAATGATGATTGTTTAGTAACTAAGCAAATTGGACAGTGTTTATTAGCTAGAAGCAATGCCGTGTAGTATTATGTGATGAAGAAAGAGGAAGAACATTTCAAGTATCTTGGGATTATTTTTTTTTTTTTTTTTTTTTTTTTGTGCTATTTATTTAATAAATTTTTATTTTTTGTTTATTTTTTGCTTGTAATTCAGCCAAGTATTCCTTGTCTTTTTGCTGTTTGTTGCAATTGGTATGCAAAACTTGTTGATCAGTTTCCATCTTCTTTTTAGATTTTCTTGCCAAGTTGAATTTTTCTCTAATCTATGAATGCTCATCCTTTTATCTTTTTTTTTTTTTTTTTTTTTTTAAGTTTTGGATTACTAACCTTTTGTGCATTGAAAACAACTTGTATTTTTAAAAAAAAAGTTTCTTTGGCGTCACTATATATATATATATATATTGCTATCTTTCCAAAACTCGCACCTATTGCTGGTGTTTATAGTTAGCAAGCTGTCTCCACTGAAATTTTGCAATATTTTTCTTCATCTGCTTTTTATGTTGGTGTTTATCTAAATTCTTAAGGTGATTCCTTTGGCTCTCTGGATTTGTGTTCCTCTTTCCTTCTCTTGGAATTTGGGACTCTCTTGTTTTCCTTTACAATCCATTCTTGTCAGTTGGTTTTCAATCTGTTTCTTTGTCACACTTTTGTGCTCTGTTGATGGAGGCTGCAGCAATTGTCGTTACGTTTCTCTCTGGCAATTCTTTTCTGTCAACTATGTATTGTTGTTTATGCTTGTGTTTGTCTATCAACTTGGTTGATGTGGTTTGATGTTAGTGATGCATCCAGAATCATTTAAATATGTTTTAATAATAATATGAATGTTTGAATGTTACCATATTGTAAAGATGCCTTCCCCACCCAGATAGGGAAAAACAAAAAAAAACGCACATACATGCACACAAACTCATTATAGCATAAATAAGCTTTAAACTTTCAATTCTTTCTCTTCTCCTGCCCAAAAGGATGACATCAAAAATACTATGGCCATGTTTCAAATGTTATTTTCTTTAATCCGCTTCCTTTCGTTCTTCTGCATCTGCTTTAGATTAAAAACAACAAAAAAAAAAAAAAAAAAAACACACACACTGACTTTTGATTGGATTATCCAAACTCTCCCTGTAAACGTCTACACAATACATTTGTTAATAGTAGCTCTGGTTATTACCTGAAAATTAAGTAAACTCTTCAGTCATTTAAAGATAAAACTGTTTAGAATATCTAATTGTAACTGTTGAGTTCCCCTGAACTTTGAGTGGGAAAATCTACCAATATTTTGCAATGACTTTTTTTTCCTAAAACACCATATGGATCTGACTGGCTGTTTGAGTGTTTACAGATCTTCAGTTAAAATCTGTAGCTGGTATAAACAAAAAAAAAAAAAAAATATATGTGACTACATTTTCACCACTGTTTGTCACTTTTATTTTTATATATATATATATATATATATATATATATATATATATATATATATAATATTTTTTTTTTTTTTTTTTTTTTTTTTACTTATTCTCTTTTGCACTCTCCATTTCCACTTAGTCACTTTCTCTCCCTTCACACTCACAGTAGTCTCTTCCTCCTCTTTTTTTTGTAACCTTTAATCCTGCTTCATGTACTGGTCCATTTAAAAGGCTCATCCCTCACTTGTTGTTCGAGTACAAACCAAATTAAAGTTTCAATTATGAGCATCACCCTAACACATAATTCTAGCCATTAATGTGTAATTGATTAGAGATCAGTGTTGTAGTTATAAATAATGATTTTTCTTTTTATTGTAAGCTCCAAAGTTGTATTTGAATTCTTTGTGAATAAATTGCTGTGAGCTTCTAATGAGAAAAGCCATCTTGTAGCTATTTACTGCTTATTGTTGACACACAGAGTAGGACTTGTAGTCAAGACTCTTTCCTCCCTTTTTTTTTTTTTTTAATCTTTCTAACCCTTTCTTAAATTACCTTAAATCTGTACCCAGTCTGCAGCAGGCAACTTGTGACCCTGTGTTTCCTTCCACAGATCTCCATCACCAGAACCAATATATAACCATGAGGGAAAACGGCTGAACACACGGGATTATCGAACAAGAAAAAAATTAGAAGAAGATCGCCACCGGCTGATCCAACAAGCTTTTGAGTTAAATGCTGACTACAAACCTCCATCAGATTACAAGTGAGTAAGATGCCATTTCCTTTACCTCTACTTTCTCATATTTCCTATTTCTGCCTTGTGCCCCCTTCCATCTTCCCATATTACCTTCTTCTTCTTCTTTTTTTTTTTTTTTTTTTTTTTTTTACCCTCCACTTCCCCATATTTTCTCCCTCCCTCAACTTTTAAATGGTAGTGCCTTGAATAATTTGGCTATTTGATTTCTCATTTGGTTTAAAGAAGTATCATTTTTAGGCTTCATTATTTTTCTTTGTTTTTGTGTTTTCAGGCCCCCAATTGTGCGAGTCAGTGATAAAGTAATGATACCACAAGAACAACATCCAGATATCAATTTTGTTGGTCTCTTAATTGGGCCGAGAGGAAATACTTTGAAAAATTTGGAAAAGGAGGTACAGTTTTTCTCTTTATACAATGATTGAAGTTACTTTGAAAATAATTGAAGTAATTGAAAGAAAAAATGTTAAGCATGTTTTTAATTTCATATTTAGATCTGGTACAAGAACATTTTTACAGAGTACTCTAATCTAGTTTGTATGACTTGCAAAATTTGCTCTAGTTTGTAGGTTTGACATAATTTTATTTTTGTAAAAATTTAACATGAAATTAAAATTGAGTGAATTGTTTTGGTATTGAATGTTAACTGTCAGTGATAACAGAATTGATTTTTGTTGACCATTGCAATTTTAGATTTATTGTCATTGCCAAGATCACTGCTTTTAAAGAATTTCATGGATTTCTGGTTGACTAGTTTTGTCATTTTCTTTTAGACTGGTGCCAAAATAATTATTCGTGGTAAAGGTTCTGTAAAAGAGGGCAAAATTGGTAGAAAAGATGGCCAGCCTTTACCAGGAGAAGATGAACCACTTCACGCTTATGTGACGGCAAACAATCCAGAAAATGTTAAAAAAGCTGTTGAAAAGGTAAATTGTTGTTTTTAATACAAGTTCAAAGGTTGTAAGCTGGGCCAAATCAAGACTAGTTTTTCAGATAAATCAAAACATTGAATTTACTTAAATTATTTGAAAAGTAATTACATAAAATGATTGATTGAAAATGGTCCTTTGGGGTGGGGTACTCTAACAGAAATTCTTAGGTTTAGATTTCTTTAACTCTTTAGCATTGAACACACTCAAACCCGCCCCATAAATATCAGTTATCAAAGTCTAACTGTTTTCATGACTTCCTGCATTATTTGCAATGATGCTGTCATATTATGTCAGTGTATACATGGGATGGGTTATAGTGGGTTTGAACATTGAGAGCTGTTATTTACAAGGCAGGTTTTTAGGAGTTGAATGCTGGAGAGTTAATGAAATAAATGAAAGTCTTCACTTCTCTGATCGTTCAGATATCAAGTTATTTTAGAAAAAAAGATAATCCTCCTACATATATTGAGCACTTCATAAATATAACTTGGGTATGTAAAATGGCATGTCATAAGTTTTGGTTTGAACAATTCTATTTGGGGGGGGGATTTAAATTCTGCTATTCCAAAAGAATCGAATTTTTTCCAAGGAAGCATCTCTGTCTATTTTGAAATATAAATATTCTGTTTTAATTTTTTAAAAAATAAACTAACTTACCACATTAAAAAAAGTTAAGTATTGTATTTGATGTGATAAAAGGTGCACTTAAATATCCTCACTTTGTACCTTACTTTAACTGGATGTATTCAGGAAAGGTTCTTTATGTATTGTTGAATGGCACCTTATATATTAGTGGAACTTCATTTATGTTTGCTATTTGGACCAGTTCAAAACACGGGTTTTCTTTCAAGCATGCATAAAAAAAAAAAAACTTCATAGTCTGCTAGCATTTTCTATGCAATGGATATTTTTGTATAAACCCTACCATTTCATAAACTGGCAACACCAGCTGCAAAGGCTTGAAACCTAATCATGTAACCACGTTACTTATTTTAGTAGCAACACTTCTTGCTGAATTCCTCTGATCTACTGCCCAGGTTTTTTCAGGTCATCCTCAAACTCTGTCCAATATGGAGCAAATATTGTTTATCTTTTTTTCCAGCTATCTTTAGTTGATCTTAGTGCCACCAGTCTTTTTTTATGTTTACCCAATGCAAGGCCCAAGAGCCAGTTAAGAGCTATTACTGAATGATGTGTGTGTTACAAACGTAAAAGAAGAAATTAAAGAATATGTGGGTATGGATGATAGATAGCAATTATCTCTGGACTTGAAGAGGTTAAGATAACAGGATGTTGGGAAGCATCCATGTCTGTTGGATAAAATAGTGGTTCTTGGAAAAAGCTTTAGGAGTGGAACATCCTTAATTGCCAGTGGGATCTGTGCTCTCTTGCTCCTCCATATAATCTATCAACTGTAGTGAATGGTAAGCTTGGGCCTTTACAAAAAAAATGAAAGGCCATAAGAGTAATAAATTTAGAATAAATTACTATGATCATTACTATATGGTGAGAAACTTATTTTTCTTCAGACTGAGTTAAAAGGGTTAATTAGATACAAAGATGATGAAATATTAGTCTAATAATGACATGCTTCTGTAAAAATTGAATTTTTCATATGTGATCAGTTGCTGAACACAAATTTTGGCTATTTTGGAAACTCCTTATAGGCCACACTGGGTAATCTCATGGATCTTGTGTGGTCTATAGGTTGTATTTTGTACAGGTTTGATGTTTCTCAACCAGTGCACCTGGGCATGCTAATGCATCCTGGAAGTTAACAAGAATAATTTATTCAAGAATAAACAAGAAATATTTCTTTATTTTTAAAAAAAAAACAAAAAAACTAAGATGCCATGCACATGGCTTCCATGTGTAAGTCAAATCTTTCTCACTTGATATTTTAAACTGGATACCAAATTCCTTAATCTTTAACAAGTGGATAATCCTTTCTTTTTGCCTTCCTCAAGTGATTTAAATCGCTCTTTATCAGTCTCTCTAAAAAAAAAAAAAAAAAAAAGATTCTTCATAAATCCCTTTAAATGAAAGCTACCACCTCATACAATGTAATGACTTAAAAATAGATGTTTATTTCAGGAAACTTCTTTTTCAAAATTTTTCCTTATTAAAATTTAATATACATCTTAGTTTTAGTTATTCTACAAGTGTGTCCTGAAGTGTAAAAAAAAAAAAAAAAGTTTGAAACACACTGTCTTAATTTTTTACTGCTTGAAGCCATATTCCTGTGTGTTAAACTCTGTAAACCTAACCAGCACCATCAGTGTCATATCTGCTGTGACCAAGCAGCCCTACTGAATGCACTCATCACATATAAGCACAGCAACCCCTTCACTAGTCATTCTTTGGCTGCTTTGTATAAGAGGCATATTTCTATGCAACCTTGGAGGCCGCTGGAGCATATTTGTGTATGAAGGATCAGCTGGCACTGACAAATATCAATGATATTGTATTATGACAATTTTAGTAGTAGTAGCAGTATTATTAGTGTTATTAATATTGAGAGAGCTGCATGCCAACAAACTGACACTATGGTATAGATATCCAAAGCTCAATATGCTAGTCATGATACCCTGCCTGCTAAGGGTATGACACGCAAGTGTATCACAGCCAAATAATGTGATAAGGTGACAACTTTTGATAAAAAAAAAATACAGCATACAACCTTGTAGGTGGAGGTCCCCAGTTAGAAATATCTTCAGGTCAGGTAACCCAGTTTATTCAGGGTGTTCCCAAATAAATGGACATAACTTCCAAGTTACTTTGGTTTCTTCAACTTTCAAACTTCCAACAACTGAAGGATGCCTAAGGGAGACCTGCCCAACTGATACTGTAGACTGTAGCTCATCTTGATTTATCAAGACAAAACCTGTAAATGTTAACACTTATATAATTAAAATCAGAAGCCGTTTTTTATTCCTGTCTAAATTTCTGGCATGTAGGCTTATTTACATTGTACATCCATAATGTAAATAAATGATGACTCTTCATTCCAGAAATTCAAACAGAAATTATCAAATTTGTGGAGTAGCCATGGTCAAAACTGTCTGACAAACAGAATTGATGAAGTTTCCAATAATAAGAAAAAAAAGAACGGGCCAAAAAAATAATATAAAGCAAGCAAACAATATTTTAAAGGCATAACAACTCCCACAGCCCCCGCCCCCTAAAATAGAGAGTGGGGGAATATTTTGCACTCATTCCCCACTAGATTGGAATCAACAGAATTAATACAAACCCAAGGTTATACACCAATAGAACCATTGTGAAAAGCTCCATCAAAAAATGGCATTAATGTCCAAGTTCCTGACATTCTTATGCTGATATCAGAACAGGAACAATCTATCCCCATAAATAAAGGGTTCAGTTGGAAATTCCTTAAAGGTTACACAGATTGTTGACCACCTGAAGAGTGCAACAGCTGAAATGTTGTAATAGTTTTTTCTGAAGAGATCATGAAAATAGTGTAAGTAAAGTGCATTTTATATGCTGTCAAACAACACATTTTTGGAGTGTGAGAGAAGCAATTTGGAAATTCCTTAAAGGTTACACAGATTGTTGACCACCTGAAGAGTGCAACAGCTGAAATGTTGTAATAGTTTTTTCTGAAGAGATCATGAAAATAGTGTAAGTAAAGTGCATTTTATATGCTGTCAAACAACACATTTTTGGAGTGTGAGAGAAGCAATTTTGAAATTCCATTTGTACATTTGTCTCAAAAGAAAAAAGACCCCCCTCCGCCAGTTATTGAATAAGAAGGGATAGGGGGGTCGTTGAATTCTTATTGGAAGAATGTTAGACAACTGTTCCCACCAGAATTTATTTTGCACATTTATAAGTTTACCATTCATCCGCGTATAACATTGCAACATTTGCCCAGCCCCCACAGCTGACAGTTGAATGGATCACTTCGATCCAAACCTTGCCTTGTCCCATGTTGTTTGATTTAGATCACAAGGCTGGCATAGTCATAGGATAAATTGTAATAAAGAAAATGTTTTATATAATGTTTCTTGTACAGAGCTGGTAGTACAATATCAGTTCTTCAGGTAGGAATATATTTGTCATGCAAAGTTTTTTGACCCTTCCCTTCAAAAATTTCATGACACTTTGTCATGACTAAGTTTAGACAAAGCTTCTGGAACACAGCTCAAAGTTGGAGGTCTTCTTCAACGGCAGGAAGTCGTGTGAGTTCAGGGAAGTGGTTGTCTCTAGCTTGCCATCTGGTGGCTTCTTGATCGTTTCAATTCTGTTTATATGGCCCTCCATTCAAAACTGGCATGGTGTCTGATGTGGGTTGGGATTTCAGCCATTCCCTTAATCTCCACAGAGAGTTCTTTGTTTGACCCTGGGAAATTAATTGCATGCCCAATTTTGGAGAGGCCTCTCCTCCAAGGACTAGTGGTAGCAGAATATTGATCCACCCTAACTCCTTCCTTGTATTTGTGCTTCCTACCAATACTGCCCAAGAGGGTGGAGGCAATTCCTCCAAAATTTTCATCAACAAAATTCCTCGACCCCGTCCACTTTCTCAACCAGGCATTTATCAGCTGTTCCCCTGACAGCCTCTTCTTGAGGCATTTCAACTCTTATCCAAAGAAATCTCATCTCTTCAGTGATTAACACCTTTCCTTCCTTTTTTTGACAAGTGATAAAAAAAAAAAATTTGCCCCTTTTTCAAGAAAACCTTAAATTTTATCTCTCTACAGACTCTTCCTTATCGGGTCTTGGCCAGCTGATAATTCCATAACCTGGATTTTAAAAACAATAGGGTCTCCATTTTGGCTTTTACACCGCCTCTCTCCATCTTGTGGGTTTAAATTACCCAGATGGCTTTTTCAACTAGTCCTCAAAATAATAAAGCCATTTTACTCTCAGCTAACCTTGACTCCTGACTTAGTCATTGGATGTTCTCATATCTTTATTCTTCAGTCAACGTGTTAACAACCCAGTATTTACCAGGTCCATTTCATAGGTTGCCAACTTCAGCCAGATGGTTTTTGTAAAAAAAAAAAAAAAAAAAAGTCACAATACATCTGGTCAGGTGCTTCTGTTGTATACCTAGAGATTCTTGACAAAATCCAAAGAATTTGCAACATTATTGGCCATGGTCTGGCATCTTGATTTCAGCCACTTTCCTGCCACCATGGTGTAGCTTCCCTGTGCCTTTTCTCTAAATATTTTCATACTAATTGTTCCTATGAGCTTTCTTCTTTAATACCTCAACTTCACAAATTTAAGTACAGTACAAGATTAGTAGGTCTCTTAATATCACTGTTGAAATTGCTAGTGGAAACCCTAAGTTCTCTGCTGATAGTTTCTACTTTCACACTTCTCGCTTGTGGAAGTCTATTCCAGCTTTCTGTTTTCCTTCAAACATTTAAATGCAGTGTCTGTCGTCATCATCATCATCTCTGTCCTTGAATGCTGTGTTTTTTGTTGTCTTCTCTGTTTCTTTCACTCTCATTTACTCCTTGCATCTTTGACTTTTATTGTATTTAAAAAATTGCTTACCACCCCAATTCTAATGTTAGATAATTTTATTTCAATGTGAATATCATGCTCAAAATTCACTTTTTTTTTTTTTTTTTTTTTAATTAAACATTGATCTTAAAATCAATGTTTATGAAAATTTTTTACATCAAAATTAAACAAGATTTTCTCATAAAATGACTGCTTCAATTTTTTTCAGTTGTCACATTTTAATACATTGAATATATATTTAATGAGATGGTTTTAATAAGTTATTTTCTTGTTATTTTGTTTTGATTAGATCAAAGAAATCATTCGTCAGGGCATTGAAGTTCCAGAAGGGCAAAATGATTTACGAAGGCAGCAACTGCGAGAATTGGCTTTGCTTAATGGGACTTTAAGAGAAAATGATGGTCTTGCGTAAGTGATAGCCAACACTGTACTTTCTATTCTTATTTTTCTTTTTCTATCATTATTAGGAATAAATATTCTTAAATACACTTATTTCTGCCTGAAAAATCCTGTGATGGTCTTATCTATTTCTAATTTGTCAAATTCCAAAATTGTCCTCTACAGTTGTGTCCCTTATTTCTGGCTAATGGTCATCTGATAGGTTTTTGGGACTTGTAAAATTCCAAGATAGCTGTTTAGATTTGTCCAATTAATTTATGCAGAGAACATTGCTGTTAACTATAAAGATGTTTCACTTTTGTTTTTTTTGTTTTTTTCTTATAATGATGGCAATGACTTTGATTAAAAAAAAAAACAAAAAAACCAGTACATAAATCTGTGTAGATTTTCAATCCGTTCAGCAAGCGACAAGAGGTTAATATGTGGCGAAACATTTCATATTTGACTCGATGATTGGCGTTCTTATTTTATTCATTTTTTTTTTTTTTTTCTTCAGCAAATTGAAACAATTGCAGCAGGCGCAAAGCATCATCACGAACACGATAATTTGCACATTGTGTGGAGGAACTGGCCATCTAACACAAGATTGTAAACAAAAAAGGTGGGTGGATTGAATGTTCAGTTTTACTTTTTAAAGTGAAAATTGAATCTACTGCTTAGAGATAAAGACAAAATAAAAAAAAAAATTAGATGGTCATCAGCAAAGGCTTACATCTGACATGTTGTAGGCTATTATGTGAAATTATTTTGTTTCCTATTGAACCTATTTGAGGTACCAGGTGATATCTCTCCTGCCCCCTCTCTCTCTCTCCGCTCTCTCTCTCTCTCTCTCTCCCGCCTCTCTCTCTCTCTCTCTCTCCCTCCCTCTCTCTCTCTCTCCCCCTCCCTCTCTCTCCCTTGCCCTCTCTCTCTCCCTTGCCCTCTCTCTCTCCCTTGCCCTCTCTCTCTCCTTTGCCCTCTCTCTCTCCTTTGCCCTCTCCTTCTCTCTCTCCTCTGCCCAATAAAATAAAGGATTATAGTAATTTAAAGTTATTGGCTGGTTGAAATAAGAACTTTTTAAATTCCAATGTACGTAATTAACCATTATTATTTTTCTTTTTTTCTTTATTGTCTGTCATTTATTCATTTAGGTTTCTTTGTAATTGATTTATAATAATTTTTTTTTTTTTTATAGGCCTGGAGATACAATTAGAATTCCACAAGGTTCACAAGCAGACAGGGCAAAAATGGATAGTGAGGTAAGAACAAACATCACACAGACATGCCTCATTCTGTTATAGCAGAGACTTTCATGAATTAACGTTAATGCAATGGATTTCATCTTTTATGTTGATTATAAAAGATTAAATCCATTGTGTTAATGTTACTTGAAAGGCATGTACTTCAAAATTGTCATGTGCACGTATATAAATTTATAAACCTCACTTTTTTCTCATACAGCCAGTTCATTTCAAATTGGATATTGCTTTGCTCATAGAATTGTTATATTTAAAGGCTAGTGTCATGACAAAAATGATAGGCATGGAGTCAGCTGGATTGAAATCTGAACCTAACCCCTTGAGTTTGCTAATATTATACAGTAAAATCAAATAATGTGTGTATTCCCTTTACTCCCCTATTAGTATGAAAACCCACCCTGTAAAGTTTATTTTGATGAAACCATTTCAAATCATGGGCTTAACTTCTCTTGCTTCCAGCTTGGCTGTAAGGCTCTTTTTGAAGGATCTTGATAAAGGTGAGATGAAAACAATTATTTGTTGAGATAGTATGTAAACAAGGAAATTAAATATTCAACAATTCTAAGGGAAAGTGGAAAACAGGGCGAGGAATGAAGTTTCCCAAAAGACATACAATGGCTGCTATGTGGCAAGCAGAAGACTGACGCAAAAAGCAATCCATATAAATCCCTTTAAGAGGGCTACATAATTTTCAGCAGCATAACTAGGAAGGGAAAGTAAGATATATAGAGAGTGGGGTGGGGCAATAAGGTAAAGAAAGAGACATTTAGGAAGTGGAGAGGCAGAAGAAATGGGGCAGTGAAAGAACTAAATCTATGCTGATGGGGGAGAAGGCATTTAATTTAGACAAAAGAAAGTAATTATAATTTATGGGTGTGGGCTAGAAGAAACTTAAGAGGAGAAAAGGCAGACATGAAAATAGGATGTTGCCATTGTGTTAAAGTCAAATGTCCCATGCTCTTTGTTTGTACCTAGATCAGCTTATCACTAATTCAAGAAGTAAATTTGGAGGACTTGTAAAACTTGAACACAGTATTGTTGTGAAGTTTATGAATATATCTCTGGTTCTTTAGCTTTTCAATCAATTCATTCAAAATGTGAATGTTACATAGTCTACCCTAGAATGACCAACATAATAATAATGATGATGGGTAAGATATTGTGATGATGGGTAAGATCCCAAAAAGATAAAGACAAGAACAATATTAACAAGATTCCTAACAGGTTTGTTTACAAAAGATTCCAAAACATTGAATTGCTAGGAAACTGCTTACCTTCTATACATTTTAAATATAACATCAGAATTTGTGCAAATGGAATGCATGTGTTTACTGTCAAGGCTTGGGTAATAATGCAGTAAGTGATGATGTTATTGCTAGAGTGGCTGGAGGAAGACCAGCATTAAATTCAGGGTGCAAACAACGGCAAAGAATCTCACCCATCCCCACACATCTTCCAAGTTATATGGCAGTTGAGTTTTAACATGAACTTTAATGCATACAATTTACCAAAATCTTTATGCTTTGTCGACAATTGGAAATATTGTCATTAATTAGTGATAAGTATAATTTTATACCATTTCTCCCTTAAAAAATCATTGTGTGGCTCTTCCAATAAATAGGAAGGGTTTTTTTTTTTTGGTTTTTTTATAAAGCCAAGTCAGGTTTGGAATTTTATCTGATTGACAGACAAAAACATTTTTATTCTTCCATGAGCATTTAAAAAATCCATTTTTTTTTTTTTCTTTTTCTTTTTCTTGTTCTTTGCAGTATATGTCCTTAATGGCAGAACTGGGTGAAGGTCCACCTCCTCCGCAGAAGACCCCACCCCAGCAAACCACCACCACTCAACCAACTCCTGTCCAAACGTTTAACAGACCTCCTTATCACACACAGCCGCCGCCTAATCCAATGGTAAGTTCTTCAAATTCTTTACTGTTTTATGCTCATCTGTGTACTGGATAACAACTGCTGTTGAGTGGGGCACAGTTTCACCCTTAATCATGGACTAGTACATGATTTCCAGAAATGTAGTTTTCAATTTTCTCTTTCTTTTCCAATGGATTGAAAAAATGCTGGTAACAAGAAAGTTTTTTTGTCTTGACATGTTTTGTATATAGGTAACTTTGATTAATAACAATCCGTACACTGTGTATCTTGAGGTGTGGGTATGTTTTGGTCATAATGCAGAGAAACACTGTCGGCATTATAATTGGTCACTTCCCCATTATGTGATACCACTGGAAAGGTGCTAGTAAATTGAAGAAAAAAAAAAAGAACTAGAAGACAGAAAAACAATAATTTCCGATAGACTGACGATATACCATTGACCAGAAGAGAAAATGAAAGAAAAGGATATTTGTTTTTTTTTATTGTGGGTAGGGGCTAGAAGGTAATTAAATTTCTCATCTGCTGGAGAAGTAAAACAAAGAGACCATCTGGTTTTGGTTAGAACAGAGATTAAGTGATGGGATATTCTTGGAAGTCTAAGGACATGCCTGAAAGAAATAGATAATATTTTTATGACCATTGAGTGACGGAGAGGAAGACAAACCTCTGGCTGTGAGTTTGGTCGATTGATAAGAATTAACTTTTAAAAGCAGATAGGTTTCCAAAAGAACATATGTAAAGAATAATTAAATTTTTCATCTGCCGAAACTTGATAAAACTTCCCAAATCAAAGGATTGTTGACCAAAGGATTGACAAGGGGATAAAAAACAAGAAAAAAAAAGATGATAAATCTTAGCTGTGAAAATGACCATTTACACACACACACACACTGTGTGTGTATAAATAAATAAATATTGGTTGTTTGTGATTGCTGGTATACCCAGAGCACATCATGCCCCATCCCAGCCCTTGCACATAGGTCCATAAAACGGAATGCTGAGTAGATGAAGACACACATGGCGGGTAAACACTGTGGAGAGACACAGCGGAGAAGATACTGCTCAAGACCTTGACCTCTCTGCCTTTGGGCAGAAATGAACCCAGATGAGACTCTGCCCTTCAGCATAACCTCCACCTTAAATCCTCATTCAGAACCATAAGTATGTCACGATAATCAGGAAGGGTTGATAGTTTTTGCATAGAGAGCTGTACCATCAAAACTTTGTATCAAGCAATTGCATATAAATATATCTCTTCTCTTTTATCCAATTTATTTTTTTTCTTCTTTCGTGTGACTTTACTTTGACTAAATCAAACCAAGTCATCGATTCCAGTCGACTATTTGGACTAAGCTGGTCTTGCGATCAATTGACACAACATGGGGCAAGAAAAGACTTAGGCCAAAGCGATCACTTTATAATCAGCCTTGAACACGTAGTGGCTGGGGTAGATGTCATAATTGTATTGCGCATAACTAGTAAACATAACAGCTCTGCCAATAGAGGGTGCTGCAGAAATACCCCCCCCCACACACACACATAATGGTAAAACATTAGCTAGATGAAGACACTGTTACATGGGAGGTATTTCTGTTGCACCCTGTACAACTTATTCTTAGGAATTGAGTTGTCTTTGGCCATTAAAAAGACCAAAAGAGATTTATTGATTGCTATTTTTTGCAGTGTTGGCTGTAAAAGTGAGATTTTTCCACTTTTTCAATATGAAGCTGCCTTAATTTCATATCACAATTGTTTTTGCATCAAGGTGAATTTTCTTTCTCAAAAATCAAGCTTTCTTGTGACAGTGTTGCCCAGGTGGGAATTGAGAGGTGTACAACTGCTTTGTTTAGGATTAAATTTCTACCATTTAATGTTGAGAACAGTTTTATGTGCAAGATCAATAAAAACAAGTTTTGTCTGCGTTTCATATTCAAATTTTAAGGCTATTTATCCATGTATGTTGATATGGCTTGAATCCTTTGATGACGGAATCTTTGATTATTCTCCATCTTAGGGACTGTATCTTGGAAAGTGATTCTTGCTGTGTGTTTCTAAGAAATGCAATTTCTGCTGAAAGTGGGTGTATAAATAAAGTTTGTAGTTTGTATATAAAAATTGATTTTACTTTACCTACACATCTGTTGTAGAGTGAAATAAATAAGGAAGACCAACTTGTAGGTAAGTAATGAAATAGATGGTTTACTACATGAAAGTACAATTGACCTAATGCTAACTCACCTCAACTCCATAAACAGACGATTTCATTCACTTATGTCCTATATGACAAAACCTTCAAGAGAAAAAAAAACATAAAAAGAAATCTCATCATCTTGAAGATTATAGAATCTTAGAAATGTTTAAATTCCATCTGAAAGGATTTAATTATCTGTATTTTTTTTTCTTTTTTTTTGAGTTTGCTGCAATTAATAAAGCAACAGTATAAGATTTTTTTTTTTTTAATATGTATATGTATGCATTTCAAAATAAAGATTTAAAAAAAGAAGAAAAAAATATTTGGTTAATGCATCCTTTTCTTTTTCTTTTGTAGGCACTGAATCCGCCCTGGCAAACAGCACCAGCAACCAAACCCCCTCCAATTGTGACACCATTCCAGAGTCAACCTCCAACAAACAATGCTGCACCTCCAGGCAGTGTGGGTGTGCCAATTCCACCAAGCCCTGCTCCAACTTCTCAATTCCCTCCAGGAGTCCCTCCTCCTCCGCCACCACCACCTCCTCCACCAAATATGTTTTCTGCTGCCCAGCCTCTGCCACCATGGCAACAGACGATACCTGCTGCGCAGGCTCCACAATCTAACACAGCTTTAGGTAAGTCAGATTTTTATTGTCATCCTGCTTGTCTTTGTTGATAATTTATTTTTTTTCAGTCTGGATGACATGAAATATATAATATGTATGTATAAAGGTGTGTGGCCGAGTGATTAGATCATTTGCTTTTTGGCCATGAGTGGATATTTGTTTATTATTATTAGATTCATTTGTTTATTAAAAAATACCTATCAGAACTCCTCAAAATACAGGCACAAAAAGCAAATACCTTGTAAAATACCATGTTAAATGCAAATATGTGCACAATGCAGATAATGCAATATACTTTATACAAAGCCAGTACTTTAAACTAAACCAGATAATCAAACCAGATTTAATCAATAATAAATAACTGTCTCTATTTCTGAGCTGAGGTATTGTAACTATTCACTTGGGGACACATGGCCTATTCACTTGGGGACACATGGCCTATTCACTTGGGGACACATGGCCTATTCACTTGGGGACACATGGCATTCATGGGGGACACATGGCCTATTCACTTGGGGACACATGGCCTATTCACTTGGGGACACATGGCCTATTCACTTGGGGACACATGGCCTATTCACTTGGGGACACATGGCCTATTCACTTGGGGACACATGGCCTATTCACTTGGGGACACATGGCCTATTCACTTGGGGACAGTGGATAAAAGTGTTGGTTGAAGTAATCTAGTGACTTGACCCAGAGAGTTGTGAGTTCAAAAAACTTGGAAAGTTAAGTTACTAAAGGGAGATAACTAAAACTGAGATATCGAGAAATCATGTGGAATTAGAACAATCTATCTCCAGTTGATGAAATAGAAGCTTCAGTGCAAAATTCCAATTTATATCATCTGAAGAAGGTCAGAATATGACAATAAAGATGAGGACAACTGTCTGAACAATGTAAATAGCATAAATAATAATAATAATAATGAGTAAAGGTTATTAAATAACTGCATCGAGATCCACAATTATTCCTACTCGATAGTCTCTAGAATAATTTGAAACAGAATCGTTACTGGCCACCCAATAACTGTTAGATTTATACAATAGACCTTACTACCCATAATACACCTTTGACCAGCACGTATTAATAGTCAAACCAAAAAACAAGATTGTGCTGAAACATGAAACTATCAGTGCTTAATGTTCACATCTATATTTATATATATATATATATGTTTTATCTTTGATATATTAAGCACTTATAAAAATAGCATACCTTATAATTATATATCATTCCATATTATCTCAGCCAATGGTCATGGGTCTCCACCTCAGATTTTTATTAGATTTTATTATATGGCACCCATGTGAAATGATAAACTCTAAAATTTTAGCTTCCTTAGCCGTCATAATTCAGGCGTCATGGCCTCAAGAGACTATCCTCCTCCTGAAGATTAAATGTTTATGTAAGATGCTTTTCTACAGAAAAGAAATTGGTTGTTATTTCTTTCGTTTTTTTTATTGTCTTTTAAAATTATTTTGGGTAATTCTAAAATTAAACTTTCTTTGCCATCATGAGAAAGAAGTCTTTGGCATTGACTATCAATTTTTTTTTTCTTTACTTATCTTGATAAAGTTTTATTTTTATTTTCTTATCCTTTACTGCTAACCACCAAAGTCTACTTCAAAAATTAATAGGGACTCGTTTGAAGAAGACCTCTTTATTTTTAGTGGATTAATGAATTTGCCCCCCCCCCCTTTTTTTTTTTTTTTTTTTTTTTTTTTTAAAAATGGATGTTCAATAATCATACAAGTCCTCTGGATTTTTGATTAGAGATGCGCAGATAGTGTAATTGTTATTGGCTCGGAAAGTGGAAACAGCTGACTCAATTCAAGTATTAGCCTAGTCTTTCACAATTGCACTGATGCACACAAATATCTTCTCTCTCCAGTTATGGGTTAAATAACAGGGTAGACTGAGCTCTCTAGCTTTGACTGACAGCTATTTTAGGAGGAGAAGGACGAGGACTTTATTCTAACTGATGGAGAAGTCACTCTACTTCCTTTCTAAGAAGTACAAAAAGGAAAATGGGCATCCACAATATCAAAGGCCATGATACTTTAAAAAAAAAAAAAAAAAAAAAACTTAAAAGAATAGTACGGGACATCCATTGATCTTGAGAGACCCTAGATTTGTGCCCAAGGAGTTATACACTCTCCAGGGTGCAGGCCTGAGCAGGCTTTTATGAGTGATCAGCAGTTGCCCATGCAGCCCATCTCCCCGCTCCATGCCACCAGTGTTGTCCAAGGGAAAGGCAGAGGCCAATGCAGATTGGCACTGTCATCATTGCAGGAATTAAATTAAACATGACATCGGACTGTATTAGGGACTCTGGATTCAGATTTTAATTCAAAGTTGTCCTTCTCTCAATCCAGTTACCAACTATGGTTGCAGAGCCCAGACTGCTCTATTTACTTATAGTTGGTTTTGAAATCAGTTTTTCCTTCTCGTAAACTGGTTGCCACCCAGGGCTATAGAACCCAGTCTGTCCTGCTGAGATTAAAAGGATAATGTATTTAACAAGTACAGTTGCTAACGAATAATTGAAATATTGCATGTCTAATTTCAACTTTACCTTTGCTCACCTTTTTACTTTCTTTTCTCTTTTGATCATTTCAATTTTTATTCTGAAAGGTGCAAACTAGTGATGGTTTTGTTTTTTGTTAGTTGATTCGTCTTTATTTTTTTGCTTCTTGCAGGGGTGCCTCCACCACCTCCAGGACTTTTGACAGCACCTCCTCCACCTCCTCCCCCAAGCAGCCAACCTTCGGGAGTTATGCCATGGATGGCATCTCAGAGTGAGTGTTTCTGTCGAGATTTTTAAAGGAATCTTTTTCTCCAATTGGTATTATGTAAAGTCTAGTATTTTAGATAATGTCAATTGGGAAGTATGTGTGTGTATATATTCTGATAACTACAGCCATTTCTGAACCACCTGATGAGGGTTGGAGAATGGACAGGTAGAAATGCGATGTAAGCAAAAATTTAAAAAAAAAACTGCTAAATTTCAATAACCAACTACAATTTGTTATAAAACTGAATTTTAGAAAATACTCCACATGCTTATATTGCAAATCCAAAATAAACTTTTAAGGTAGACAAAAATAGCAGACATCTTGGTAATTTTGTGATCATTAAACCAACATATGTACTTACTTATTTGTTAGATACAATCTCCCAAAGGATTGTTTAAAGTGATACAATGATTTTTTTTTTCTCAAAAACACTAGTTAACAGAGAAGAGTTATTGCACATGATTATGTAGGTTGTGTTAAATTTAGTATAATATATAATTAGTTTTATTTATTTAATTTTTACTGGGACTATTGGTACTTATGAGATTTTTCAGGACGTGTATATATATATATATATATATATATATATATATATATATATATATATATATAATGAAAAATATACTTTTAAGGTGAGCTATATTTATGGGATAAAGTGCTCAATATCAGAGATAGTGTATGTAAATATAAAAGTGAACATTGAAGTCAACACTCAGAGGTGACAGGCTGTTTCATGCTAGATGCAATTATCAATTTTTGTATTTATATATGCTCTATCTCTGATATTGAGCACTTTATCTATAGCACACACACATATATATATATATATATATATATATATATAAATATATAACAAAATTGTTTATAAAATCACTACAAAAATAGCCATTTTGTTTCAAAACTTCTGGTGTCTTATGAAGTGATGATGTTGAATGTAGTGCTCTGTATTGAGCACTCTTTTAAGAATAGTATTTTTTGGTTATTGGAATTTATTCCATATACACCAATCCTATACTGAGTGTGTGTATATATATATATATATATATATATATATATAAAAAAAGATAATAGCCTTTGCAGTTTTCTTTGCAAAGACTTTAAAGAGGGAAAAAATTGAATGGTTGGCAATCTTTTCTCTCTCTTTCTGCCTTTAGTTTCAGACAATTCTTGAATTATATTTCAACAGGTAATATAATGGCTGTTTAAATTATTTTTGCTTTCAGGTGCTGGTCTTCCTCCACCACCACCTGTGTCAACATCTGGGCCTCCATGGCAAAGTGCTGCTGTTCCTCCACCTCCTCCTTCGTCTGTACCTCCATGGCAACAAGCACCTATGCAATCAATGGGCAGTGGGGGTGTTGCTCCTCCACCTCCTCCTCCAGGAAGTCAACAATTTGGGGGCATTCCTCCACCCCCTCCTCCAGGGGGCTATGATATGAATGCTGGTATGAATCCCCTTCTTGTAGCTCCACCTCCACCACCACCTTCTTAGGGAAAAAAAAAAAAAAAAAAAACAACTGCTTCCCTTCCCTCCCTCCTCCTTCCCCGGACATAAATACACACACACACACGCACACAAGCCTACTTGAGGGAAGGAATTTGTAGAAAATAAGGTATTTCCAGTGTCTACACTTGGACCACTAAAAGGGAGAAGTGGACAGAAATGATTGAAAACATTTTTTTTAATTTTTTATATTGTGAATGTTTCATCTTTAAAAAAAACAAAAAAAACAACAAAAACATTTTTACATCATAGAAGATCAAATAAGGAAACCACCAATTTGAAGAAATCTGTCACATCCCCAACCCTTGTTTTCTTTTTCTTTTTTTTTTTTTTTATATAAGGTACATTCAGAAACTTAAATTTGTCTCTTAAATCAGTTTTTCCCTACTTTATCATGTTGAAAGTGACTTCACCCACTCTCCCGTCTTCTTTGCTGTCTAAAGTGTGTCAACCATTCTAGCCTATAAATGCATTTACACAATTTTTCTTCCCTTAGTTCCTTTTTAAGAATTTATAAATGGCTTTGGTAAATATTTACGTCTTAGATTTTCTCTTTATTTGTTTAAGACTTTTAGCCGTTTCATTTCGTAATAGTCTACAAGAATTTATTTTTTTCCTATAAGGCTTATCTTTCATCTTTTCTATATATATATATAAAAAAAACCCCAAACAAAGCACACACACACACACACACCCTTTTGGCTCATGTTTAATGACTTTTTCTACTTTCATATGCAGATGTTTTGTGGTTCAGTTTTTTTTGTTTTTGACAAATCCCCTGCCTCTTAACAAGTGCCACTGCATTTTGCAATATGTGCAAAAACAAAAAATTAAATTTACCTGAAAATTTCTTTACAGTGGAGTTTCATAAAGGTTTCTTTTCATCAGTTTTGAATTTTTTTTAAAAAAAACTTTTTTTTTTTTTTTTTTTTTTTTTTAAATCTCATTCACAGAATTTCCCCTACTATTTATATTTGGTTATTGCATTTACTGTTTAAGAGAAGTCCCTACCCTTCACCTTGACACTGGTTATTTGCACCCATTGACCTTACCTGTCTCTTCCTTCCCAATTCAAGGGCCTCACTTGAGACTCTGGTAGCCAAATGGGCTTGTTTCAATAAAAAAAATTTTTTTTTAATATGTACATAATTGTTTATTTTTATTGAAACAAAAACCATGAAATCTTGCTTAATATGCATATCTATCAAAGTAAAACACATATGATGACAATTGCATCCCTCTGCATTTTTTTTTTTTTTTTTTTTTTTTTATTTCAATCCTGCATGGTTGAACACTAGTGTAGAAGAGATGTCTTTAACATATTGTATTTTATGTTTACTAATGCAATTTCATGCCAATGATGCTCAGTATCACATTTACTACAACAGGTGGTTGTGGTAAGCAGATTTATTATTTCAGTTTGGGGGATGAATCAATGTCTGTTTATATTTAGTTTCTAAATGATACGACAGGTGGTTAAATTGTACAAACCATTTACAGTTTAGGGCTAGTGCAAAAAAGAAAACAAATTGTGATGTGTACATTGCAAGCCATTGAGAATAAATTCAATATTTAAAAAAAAATGTCTTTGTGGAAATAAAAAGGATTAAACTTTATTTTATCACAATGAATATTCTGAGGTGATCACCACACCATATTGTATTGAAACACTGGTTCCTGTACTATCACTGAAATTAAGCAATGTTGGTCTTAATCTATAACTAGATGGGCGATTGCTTGAGAATACCTGGTGTTGTAAGCTTGGATGTTCAATTGGTCCAATGGCTTGGGATTATTAATTGGAAAGTTCCAATTCCACTTGGGTGTGTTGTATTGACTTATGTTCAAATAGCCCTGAGAAAGGTATGAATCCCCCCCCCCCCAGCTATGCATTAATTAATAAGACTAAATCCCCAAAAAAAAAAAAAATTCTTAAATTTTTTTTTTCCTGGCTTTTAAATAACCTGCAAAAGGTTAAGCTATAGAAAACCAAACAGTTTTTTTTTTCAGTTCCTAAATTGCTATCTTAAATGATACCACAGGTAGTTAAATTTTACAAGCCATTCAGTTTAGTCCTGCATATATATATATATATATATATATATATATATATATATATATATATAAAAAAATTGTTGCTATGTACAAATAAAAAGTAATGATTATTCTCAGGTGAAACTTCAAGCTTGTGACCAGGCTTTTTCTCTTTTAATCACTCAGGATGCTCTTAAGATAATATAGACAGCATCCTATGCCAGGACACCATTTGTAAGAAGCTTGTTAGATTTCAGCACACTACTTTCTTTAATAAGATAAAAGCTTACTGAATGGAATTGGCAATATTGGCTATTTCTTATAAGTTTTTATTTTTTTTTCACCCCTCATGTAAGGCAATAAAGCCACTAAGATACAAGGGGTTATACAGAGAAAGAAAAAACTGGAATAAAAAAGACAATTTTTTTTGAAGATCAAAGTTTACTCAAAAGTGAGAAGCTGGAAAAGTTTCTGAGACAGGGATGGGTAGTTAGCAAAGAATCTAGCCATTTCTCATCTGTAAAATAAGACCTAGCTGCCAATCTAGTACTGTGCTTAAATTCATAAAGTCTAGGAAATAGAGGAAAGTTCTGAGATGCCAGATCAGGACCAATTTGCATATACAGCAGGAGTACCAGACCAGGTGTGGCAGCAATATTCAAGACACAATAGATGAATGATAGACTTAAGATTTCCTATTTTTACTTGCAGGGAAGTAATTTGTACAATATTGCTATTTTATACATACACATGTTTCAGGATGCTATTAAAGTTTTCAACTTGTCCCATTTTCTACCTTGGGCTACATTCCATCCTAACAATAGTTCAAAAATAATGCCGGAAGGCAGATTTGATCATTCATATAAATTTCAATTCTACATTCTCATTGACGCTTAATGTTTCATAGTATCTTAGAGATTAAGCTAAATCTTTTTTTCACAGGAGTACATCAGTAAAACAATTTTCATTTCACAATGTAAGTACAAGCAGAAACAAAACTTTGATAGGCAAAAAATATAACTTTAATTTAAAAAAAAAAAAAAAGCAGCATCTTGTGAAGGTACAAGCTTGAAATTTTATTCACTTTGGGATGAGGATTTCAAAAGTTGTCTATAAATTTTTGTTTTTTAATGTTTGATTTTTGAAAACTTTAAATTTATACAATTTTTGACTTCCCAAAAAGGACTGATATCAAAACTTTGAAAAAAAATTACCAGATTCTTTTAACAATAGGCATTTGTTTGAAACTTGTTAAAGCCTTAACTTTTAAATTAAAAAAAAAGAAAAAAAACTAAAATGCATTTATTGGAACTGATGAAAAAGACTTTCTAGGCAATTTGAATGGCCCTACTGCACATCCTCTCCTAATGGCCATTTTCAGTCTGAATTTCCTTATAGGCTTCTGGAACATTCCAGATTTTACCATCACTTGAAACTGATATTACACTTAAGTCCAATCTTAAGACAAGTTGACTCAACCTGTGCAATGTCACCCACCAAAAGGCCATCAGAAATGATCATTTCTACCGTTGGAGCTAGAAACTTGATTATTGCACTGGTTGGAGATGTAATGTAGAAACTGGAATCACAGTATATGGCAATTTATTGGCCTTGTCTCTTATATCTCAAGATCACTTATTCTTCATCACAGCTAAGAGTTAGTCAAAGGCTCTTCAAATTCATGTGATGTAATTTCAACAGCAGTGAGTTCATCAGCTACAAAAAACAAAAGCATCATGGGAAGAATCTTAAGATTCTTTAAGTCATCACTAGTGGCTAAAATTTTCTTGGCTGTGTTAAATGTTTGTTAAACTTGCATCAATCTTGACTCTTCCATCTTTGTATGAAAAAAGTTTGCAGAACTATGCAAAAACCTGCAAGTAAAACATGCAATTTTTGTATCACTAAAGTATTTATGCCCCTTAAAGATTATAAGATTTTTTTTTTAATTTGTCCTCTAGACCTGTGAGCTTTTTTGCCTCTCAAGTGCTTCCATCACACTCCTTAAAACCATAAAAGTTATGGAAGTTGGGCTATAAATAGTGCATTTCTGGTAAGGTCTCATCTCATAACTGGCTGCTACTGCCAAGTATGAGTTTAGCCTTTCACTTTTATAAAGAAGAAAAAAAAAATGAACTGAAAATTTAAGTCGTTCTTTTCAAATGACAATGTTTGCTCTCGAATTGTTTTTGGTGAATTAGGTGTTAAAACGTCATGTTAATTAAAATTTAAAAATATACTGAAAAGTAAGATTACCATGAAATAAATGAAAAAAAAAAAAAAAAAAAAAAAAAAAAAAACTTCCAAAGTTAAATTAATATTGACTAATTACCAAAAATTACTTTTCTACCAAATTTATTTTGAATAATTAAGAAATCTTTAAAATCTTTTTAGATATGTAATTTTTACAAACCCACAATAATTCAACTGAAAAAAAATTTTTTTTTTTTTTTTTTTAAAAAAATGTATAGAATCTAATTAAAAAAAATTTAAATGTTCAATTTAATCTGAAATTAGGAGCTAATCCCCAAACAGTTAATTAGTAAGTATAAAATATTAAGACTTAAAAATTACAATATTTTACTTACACAAATGCTATATACAACACTTAAAAATTACATTTATGTCCTTCCCCACACACGAACAAATATGAGCATGTAAAATTTAATTGAAATATGTATTGTGTATTTACTTTATACAACTTTAGAATAAACAATATGTGAAAAAGATTTAAACTTGCCTAGGAAGTGTGGATTTAAAGACTCCAGAGCTTTTAATTTTTGTCAGGATGGTCAGCAAATTCAAATTTAAAAAACAAAAAATCATTTATACTTGCTTGTGCTTAGAGTTAGTTTCATATTACAATGTCCAACAAATTGATTATTAAAAACAAAACATTGCTCTATAAAAGGAATAAAAAAAAATTTTTTTTTTTTTTTTTTTTTTTTTTTTTA